GTCCATTTTGAAACAAAAATTAACATTTTCAAAAGTAAATTGTGCAAAATAAAAAAACCAACCATTTATACAGTTTCAAAGTAAAATAAAATTTCAATACAATAAAACAAATTTTTGATTCACCCTAATAATAATAATAATAATAATAATAATTTCAATAACAGTTGCGTTATAATATGTTTAATTTAAATCCAGTTATTTCATAAAGCTATGTGTGTGTGTTTGTGTATATGTATCTATAAAAAAAAAAAAAAAAATAAAAAAAAATAAAAAGAACCCTACCGAGATTCCATTGATCGCGTGCCTAAGTTACAAAGTCCACATTCCGTTTATTCACTCAACGTCGTCGGTGTAATAGAACTCGGTAGCACCATAAGAAATCCCGATAGTGGTAGCAGCACCAGAGGCTCCTATTAAAAGCTCGAATACCATGAACACTTTCACCGGATTAAAGGAGTTCCCATTGTCCGTGGGTCTCCAATCAATTCAACCCAAACCCCCCACCCCACCACCCCCCACACACACACATATATATATATAATATATTTCTTTTACTCAATTCAAGTGTACAATTATTGTAGCATTTTAATTTGTTTTTAGTAATGATGAATGCCAATATAATGGCGTAACGTTTCAAACAAAATGATATCCACGAAAGCCAGTATTTATGCGAATGCCAATATAATGAAGTAACGTTTCAAAAAGATGATATCCAGTGAAAACCAGTAGGTATAATGGCGTTTTACATTTGAAAAATAAATGAGAGCGTGTTTGCGGATTTACGGTAATCGAATTTTTTTACAAAACAAACGTGAAACGAATTGAATATATTTAGAAGAAAATAAATATTGACGAATGAATATTAATATGTAATTATATACCGTATGATAAATCGATTTACAATTTCCAGTTTATAATCCAATATTACAGACGCGACATATATATATATATATATATATAAGTTTACTGTAAATATTTTTCCCTATATCTGTATATCAGAAAGAAGAAACATGTTTGGCGAGAAGGAATTTGTTCCTTTTAAAAAAAAAAAAATAAATTTACCGGAAACGTAACACAAACACGCGTGTCTTCGATAGAAGCACACACCTTGCGCACGCACACGTGTCTCCTTTTTCTACGATTAAACTGATAAGATCGTTGGCATCGAATAGCGTCTCATGTAAACTTACACCTCCTTTTATTTTTCTTCTTCTTCTTCTTCTTTCTAAACCCCTACCCTTCCTCCTTCTCTCATCTACATACACAAACATAAATTCTTTTGCAAGTGTGTTGAACAAATAAAAGAAAATAAAAATGAGGAAAGAATTATCAAAGTTGTTGTTGTTGTTATCGCGTATGAAATTATATTTTCATTATTTTTTATTTTTTTTTTTTTTATATATTATTTTAACTTCATTGGCTAAATAATTTCTATAATGTTTAACGTAGTATTCTAAATTTATATCCGAGTTGTGATCAGTTATCTTTCAAATAATAATATCGAAGTAGAAGTTGGTCGAACGCGGAAGAAAACGATCGGTAATCATCCTTTCGAGACGGCACACGCAATTGAAACCGTGACGATGAAGAAAATCCGGCTTTGCTTTTGCGAATAAGTTTCACTCAATGATATACAACACAACTATCATTCGAAGTATTCTATTATAAAACATAGCATAATAAAGTGAATCTTTTTTTTTTATGTTCTTTAATTGTATCCTACTCTACAAAATAATTTTTTACAATTGCAATTATTATTGAGTCTGAAATATTTGACAACAATTTGAATCTAACTATGATTATCGAAATATTATAATTAGAAAATGTATGATAATTATTTTGATAAAGTTAATAATTTTTTTTGTTACAATTGCAAACAATCCAACAAAATTTGTCAAATAACTTAAATAATAACTTGAAATTTATATAACAAGAGAAACTTATATTTAATTTTTAATATAATTACTAAATTTATATTACAAATTTGTTGGAAATATTTGAATAAAAATTCATTTGTTATAAATAAGAAAAACGCGAAACATAACTTATAACTACTATTCTACCGTAAACGTTGTAAAGAAAATGTGTGTTTAATTTTGTATCAACCTAATAGCTTTCGAACAGGTTAACCGGTGGAAGTTAAACCATGGGGTTTAAACATGCAAAGGGAGAACCACCAGGAGTGGTAGGAAGGATATGTTAATGGCGAATATGGTGCGAAATCGGAGACTCGTTGAGGTGACTCATCGGACTTTGTCCTGTCCCCGGTTTTGCACTGCCCACACGTTTGACCAACCAACAACGACCATTATTCTTCTTCTTCTTCTTCTTCTTTTTCCTCCCCTTTTTTTCCTTTTCCTTTTTCATCGCCACCTCTTCATCCTTCTCTTTTGATCCCCCTCACCCCACTTGTTCAACTTTCTCAGACCCCTTTTACTTTTCATCGTCATTGTATTTACAACACAATTCTTTGAACAATGGACAACTTGAACATAGAATTAAAGAAAATAATTTGAGATTTTCATACAACGATTGAATAGACCACCAAGAAAAGAAACATTGTCTTTTCAAGGTTTTTGATTATGAAACAGTAGCCAGTCGTATCGTATCCCCGATATCGTTAATAAAACATACCCAACGATAGCCTCGAGCCTTCACCTGCATCAAACATACGTGATTTTGCGCTTTCCAATCGATTCTTTATGCTATTACCTAGCTAACCTGTTTTTTTCTTCTTCTTCTTCTTCTTCATCTTGTTTTAAAAAAGAATTAATAAATACTAAAATGAATGATCAAATTTACAGAAACTTTGAATCTTGCGAATTCCAACGGGAAAATTGACAATTTTATAAGAATAACTGTATTCATGGTTTACAATGAAATTTATTTAAAAATGTTCAAATGTTGTTCAATTGAATATTATTTATTATTGCAAATGATATATGATGATAATTAAGATTGATGATTTAAAAGGAACGATTGGTTGAGAACAAAATTGAAAAGGGTGATGATAAAAGCTTCGTAGAATTGGAGACTCTATTCGTATCGGAAATTATACACGGTTTCAGATAAACAACGGCTACCGTTATACGTACTTTGCACGATAGGAAGAGAAGCCATGTGTGTCTGGTTTTCAGTTTAAACGTTAACTATAGGTAGAAAAGGCTTTGCCGCTTAGTAAGCGTTATTTCCGATTATCGTCGTCGAATAAAACCCCCTTGCCACACCGTTCTACCGTATCAAACCTCTTAACTCTTCCTTTTCATCTTCCATATATATATATATATATAGAGAGAGAGAGAAATCTATATTCAGTGTTATATACAATAAATCATAAGAAAATTCCTAACCTATCTGACTGTATAAATGCAAATTAATTAAACACTACTATTCATTAGTGTATAAAATATTTTCTATATATATATATATATATAAATCTATTTTTCATATATATAGTGTTATATACGGTGAATCATAAGAAGATTCTTAACCAATCTGACTGTAAATGCAAATTAATTCATATTTTTATTTTTTCTAATGCAAATCTTTGAAATTTGTATACAGTAATAATATTCATTCGTGTATAAAATATTTTCTATTTATATATATATATAAATCTGTATTTCATATATACAGTGTTATATACAATGAATCATAAGAAGATTTTTAACCAATCTGACTGTAAATGCAAATTAATTCATATTTTTATTTCTTCTAATGCAAATCTTTGAAATTTGTATACAGTAATAATATTCATTCGTGTATAAAATATTTTCCATTTATATATATAAATCTGTATTTCATATATACAGTGTTATATACAATGAATCATAAGAAGATTCTTAACCTATCTGACTGTAAATGCGAATTAATTCATATTTTTATTTCTGCTAATGCAAATCTTTGAAATTTTTATACACAAATATTTATTTTACGGTTATGTATACGTTTATGTAATATATATATGTATATAAAATAAATATTTACCGATGCCAATATGGTGACCAAATAACGTTGAGTTTTTTCAAAATCAAGAGTACGATTAACAGTGACTTGACCCTGATGAGGTAAATTGATACTAAAATATCCATAACCGTCGGCAGTTGTAATCCTGTTACGACCGACACCATCATTGTTACCAATTCCTGTACCATCACTTGGTGCAATTGAGTATTCAACAATCCCATTAACTCCGGCATCTGCATCGATTGCTACGACATTTTTGAATATCGTCGATCCAACCGGTGTTAACTGTAAAAGGTTTATTTTTTATTATGATTTGTTTGACAAATTACAGTTGTTTTATATTTCAACTAAATTTATTATTATTTATTTAATATAATATTTTATTATATATATATATATAAAATACGAATATTTAATTATTCGTGCAAAAACTCAAAATGGTCTGTAAATTTCTAAAAAAAAAATAAAAAAGAATAATTGACGATTTATAAATTAATACAAATTTTTCTTAATGCAACTTTCAATATTCTATAGTGGAAAAAAGAAATTTATATACAAATAATAATATAAATAATATAAATAGAAATACAATGTTGTAATAATAAATATGAATAATAATAAAAGTACATATACATATACATATACAATATATACTTATAAATAAATATATGTAAATAAGTTTGGAATTTTGATAGATGTTAAACTAAAAGATAATAATAATTTACAAAGTTTCGAGTGAATAACAAATACCGTTATTTGAGCATTCGAGCATCGAATTGGCTAACGCTAACGGTCCCGAACCAAGAAATCGAGTTTTACTATCAGTTCCGCGACGTTGCATTCTCTACGGTAACATTTACATTTTTCTCATCGCAAGATAAGCATCTTGCGGTACTACTACTACTACTATTACTAAACCGCACTATTAGAATATTTTCACGAAATTATTCATCCTTCTAATAGTGTCCTGCTGTTTGCAATAAAACAAAAAATAAAATGATCGATTAAATATAAATTCTCATTTATTTCTGATATCCTGAAACTCATCCCTTCCTTCCTAGCTCCACCCCAGTCGCATTAATAAAAAGAAAATTTATGAAAATGTTAAGCGAGTTTGTTCTGTCAAAATTAATCAGTTGAATTCACCTGTTTAAATCTAAGAGAGAACGTCAACCTGACACGAATAGATTGCCAGTCAGTTGACCTAACTGTTAAACTAGCTATGCGTCTATCATAGTTGACGACTCTAACGTGAAATAATCGAACCGTGACCCACCACCCTCCCCCTGCAACCCTAACTTTTTCCCTTCAACGATTTGCAGGCCATTATCATTTCCTACGATCCTGCTAATCGAGTCATGTAATTAAACTCACACACCACTGATGAATTATTCCTCTTTTTTTCTTTGCTTCATCGTTCGAATAAAACCATTTTAGACCTTGAACTTATATTTCTATGATGTAGTATTATATATGTATGTATATGTATGTTCCTTTCATCGGTTAGAACAGATCTTAACAAGTTTAATCATCGTATAGTTTTTTTTTTTTTTTT